CCACCTCACTCCTCCTCCCCTTCCCCTCGTCCTCCGCGAGGTACTGGTGATGTGCCAGGAATGGTGTCGGGGGGAACCTGAGTTGTTTTGGCACAGCCGCATGCGGGGACCGCCACGCATGTTGGCACACCCCTCACAGGGTTCGTGGCCCCGCAGGGAGCTCCACCGAAGGTCCCCCTGGCACAGACCGCATGCGGGGGCCGCCGCTAATTTGGGAACGCCCCTCGCACGGTTCGTGGCCCCACAGGGGGCTCCACCGAAGGCCCCATTGGCACAGGCCGCATGCGGGGGCCGCCGCTAATTTGGGAACACCCCTCGCACGGTTCGTGGTCCCACAGGGAGCTCCACCGAAGGCCCCAGTGGCACAGGCCGCATGCGGGGACCGCCACCCATTTTGGCACACTCTTCACACGGTTCTTGGCCCCACAGGGAGCTCCACCGAAGGCCCCAGAGGCACAGGCCGCATGCGGGGACCGCCACTCATTTTGGCACACCCCTCACACGGTTCGTGGCCCCACAGGGAGCTCCACCGAAGGCCCCAGTAGCACAGGCCGCATGCGGGGACCGCCACCCATTTGGCACACCCTTCACACGGTTCGTGGCCCCGCAGGGAGCTCCACCGAAGGCCCCATTGGCACAGGCCGCATGCGGGGACCGCCATCCATTTTGCCCGACCGCCCTACAGGGGCCCGGGCGCGGGCGACCCCCGCACCGCTGCTTCCGCTTCCGCTTCCGCTTCATCCCTCCCGCCTCCGTCCTTCCCTCCCTCTCGTCCTCTCCTCCTCCTCCTCCTCCTCGCCCTCGTCCTCCTCGCTCCCCCTCCCGCCATCCCTCGCCCACCTCCTCTCCTGCATAAGGATGTTGAATAGTCAGAACGTAGTCTGGGGACGATTTTTTGAAGTACGTTTGAATAGTTTTGGGATGTGATTATTGAATGACTTTTTTCTTTGTCGCCCAAAATCCGCCTGTAGGGGGCATGCCCGACCAAATACTACATGTGCGTCGCCTCTCCAGGGGCGACGCGCGCACCAAGAAATTTCACAGTATATGCGCCGTGGCGGGCGCTTTCTGGCCACACCGATCTGGAAACGATGCGACAATGTGGGTGTACTATATGTTCGGGTCGGACGCGCGCCTCCAAGGAGGATATACATACATACACACATACACACGTACACGCATGCATACATCCATACATCCATACATCCATACATCCATACATCCACACATCCATACATCCATACATCCATACATCCATACATCCATACAGCCATACATCCATACATCCATACATCCATACATCCAGACACCCATACATCCATACACACATACATCCATACATCCATACATCCATACATCCATGGATCCATGCATACATGAATACATACCTACATACATATCCGTAAGGGCTTCGCCCCCTGCCGCCGGCCCCTCTCTCGTAGAATGGGCCATGGAAGAGCTAAGTCATGAGGCCTTGGCGCTGTTGTGAAGTAGTATCGAAACTTCATGCGAAGCCGATTCGCAATCAGCAAAACCAACTGATCACAAGAGGGGTTACCACACCTGGCGATTGGTAAGACGTGTATGGTGTACGGGCTTGGTTACCACACCTTGCGATTAAAGGGCCGAGGGAGTTCTCGCAGTTTGGGTTACCACGCCTTGCGATGGATGTGCGTGAGGGGTGGCACCGAATTTCAGAAATGTGCCAAATCCCTTGCGTTTTTGGACCCTGACCCCGCGGGTCTGCGTAAGGGGTGGCGCCGGATGTCAGAAAGGTGGCAAATCCCCTGTGTTTTTGGACCCTGACCCCGCAGATCTGCGTGAGGGGTGGCACCGAATTTCAGAAATGTTGCAAATCCCTTGTGTTTTTGGACCCTGACCCCGCGGATCTGCGTGAGGGGTGGCACCGAATTTCAGAAATGTGGCAAATCCCCTGTGTTTTTGGACCCTGACCCCGCGGATCTGCGTGAGGGGTGGCACCGAATTTCAGAAATGTGGCAAATCCCTGTGTTTTTGGACCCTGACCCCGCGGATCTGCGTGAGGGGTGGCACCGAATTTCAGAAATGTGGCAAATCCCTGTGTTTTTGGACCCTGACCCCGCGGATCTGCGTGAGGGGTGGCACCGAATTTCAGAAATGTGGCAAATCCCCTGTGTTTTTGGACCCTGACCCCGCGGATCTGCGTGAGGGGTGGCACCGAATTTCAGAAATGTGGCAAATCCCATGTGTTTTTGGACCCTGACCCCGCGGATCTGCGTGAGGGGTGTCGATTTCGAGCCCCCCCAGCAATTCAGACAACGCGCCCAGGAGACGCTAAAAATCCCGTTTGGGCCTCCCCCCCCCTCGCGCGGTCAATCAACTAGTTACAGTAACCAGCAAGAAGTCAACTAGTTACAGTAACCAGCAAGAAGCAGAACTGTAACACTGGAATCTACAAACTACAACTGGTACAGGAAACTGCGAATCACGCGCCTCGCAGCCTGGTGGCCCCACAAGGGGGCCGGCAGACATACATACATAC